AAAAATAAAAAATCTTATGATTACTGATTCGATGTAGATAATTCAACTATTAAAATGATCTTTTTAATCAATAAATCATCAAACACTTTCACGTGAACACGTGATCGGCAAAGATTTAGATATAAAGAAAAACCTGTAAATCATTGAGTAAAAATGATTTACTAATAAGATAATTCTTTTTCGATCTCATGATCACATGGCCGAAAAGGGAAAACTTGTAAATCATTTCACTCAGATTTTCCCTTTTCGTCACTCATATAAGATAAATCTTCCGATCTCATGATCACATGGCCGTATCTGGTTCATTAAAACCCTCTTACTAAGAGGAACATTTTGATAGTTAAATCATCTAAATTGGATCAGTGGATCAAAAATTTTAAAAATTTAAACATTATATAATAATTTACAGCAGAGACAGTGCCTGATCCAAAGTGAATCCCTCTCGCCTGTGATCAATCAATCACAAATTAAATTATTTATGTGGATTCAATTGTGATGAATATAATCCTTCACCAGTTTTAATATATGCGTAAAACATTAACGGTCTCTGCTGTTATAATAATTTGATATAAAAATTCAATAATTAGGATTTAGAATAAATGTTCTCGTAATAACCTGTTACACGTAACAACCTCGGATTAGCCAATAGTAGTTAGAGTTAGGGTTTGGGTTTTAGTTATTTTTATTGGTTGTACTAATTGAGTTGTTACAAATAAGTGCGTAACAGGTTGTTACAATTAGATTCGTCCATTAATTATAAACTTTTTTTAAGATGTTATACGTATTAATACGTGAAGTATCAAAAGTAATGAAATTATTTATAATAATCATGCTCAACTTGATACAACATGGCAAAATTATTCAAATTTGCAGATTTTTGATAATGAATGAATCTAATTCCATATTCATAACAATGTCCATGCCAGAATAATTTAATTGAATCATCATATCTGTAGAACTTTGACAATCAATAAATTTAGTTAATCAGCAGTTTTAGTAATATTATTCAATGACCTGATACCACATGGGTTAGAGTTAGGTTAACTCATAATGATCTGAATTTCGATAATCCGAATTTCTGTGATAAAACTTCGAGTAACCAATGTATTAAAATTTATATACGGATCTACTATTCCATCATGTTATTTTGCTACGTATTTCCACCATAGAATGTAGATCATAACCAGAATTAGGTTAGAAATAGGGTTAGGGGTAGGCGAATGTTATAAATCCATAACAAATTACCATGGTGGATCTCTTTATATCGGACATCCGAATTTTTGATCACAGATTATATAATAATTTAGAAGATCAAAATTCGGATGTCCATATATTAGGTTTTTATATAACATGGTTATCCGAATTTTCGATCATCCGAAATTTTACCAACTTATCCTGTAGTTCGAAACGTATTACGGACATATCCGCCAAAATTTAATTCGAATTATCGGATCTATCCGAATTAGATTATGGATCAAAAAAAAATACTATATATTTTCATTTATTGTAACTAAATATAATACATTTTTATACAAAGCAACCTGGGATTAAATCAGGTTGAAAAATGAAAGTTTTGAATAAGACCCTGTGTACTAATGGCACAGCTAAATGTACAAACTGTTTTGTGTAATAAACTTAATAAATATAAATTACTACGTATACGATTTAAAACTAATTATTATCGTTATCCATCAGATAAAATAGATATCCCGTCATCCTATCTACTATCAGATTACAGATATCTATTCGAGGGTCGAACCCGGATCGAATGATTTAGATATTCATTCAAACTTTGTAAAAAGGAAACTTCAATGCTACGATATTAATATTTCAAATTAGAAAAACATATTTATTTTCTAACATAAAAAGTTAAAAATGGTTAACTATTGTTACAATCAAAAAATTTGCCACCGTGTGAATGAATGGTTAAATCGGTTATGTAATATATTTTGTACACATCGCTCGCTACGTATACCTCAGATTAAACCAAATTTGTCCTGAACCCAATAAAAGATGCAGAATTTTATGTAACATAAACATTGCTCCAGGGTCTTTAAGTATCATGAGAACTTACATTAAATATTAACGCTGCGATCATTTCTTGATATATATTACATAAAAATTTGGTAAACGTTGTATTAGTTTAATATTTTTCTGGTTTTTTTTTCATGCTAATTTTGGATAAATAAAATTCGCGATTAAACCAGGAAATAAAATATGAGACAAAGATATTTATTCAATCAATGGATCAAATTCAGAAATTTTAATGAATAGATTCACCAGAAATTTCCTAACTTAGAGATTTGTCAATGACATTGACATATATTTGTTACACTGCTCCGAGCATGAATTGCTGGCACGTATATAGGTGCTTTAAAGACCAATTGATTCAATAAATTAAATCCAATTAGTTCAATAAATCAAATCCAAAACAATGATTAATATTATTCGTAATTTGTGACAGATGATTATTCATAAAAATGTACGCCTTAATCGCAAATGATACGTCTCTGAAAAATTTTAAAATAGGGGTCACGGTTATTATCTGAGCTTGATAAAGTAGGATTCCGTATAGACTAAAGGCCTAATGGGATTTGAAGTTATAAATTTTACATTATTTCGATGTTGACCATTGATATGAAGTTATAGAAATATTTTGGTCGACAAAGTCCACAATAGTTTCAACATCATGTATATGTACTCTGGTCAATTCTGTTAATCATTGTATTAATGAATGCAATGTGATGTAATGTAACGCCATAACATCTCTATTGTTTTAATAGTTGTGCAAATTATTGAATTAAAAATGTAGGTATTCAAGAAGTATCACAATCAATAACCAATTTATTAAATGACCTAAGAGAAAACAAGTAAATTTGTGAATTAAATAAAAATATTACTAAGGCTATTTTAGATGTACCCGGTCAGATCTCTTTTAAGAGCCAGGGGATGTATCCCCTAAATTTAGATAACAAATGTGATTCTATCACTATTCTATGCAGAATACGTAATAATTTTGTATGGCACATAATCTATAGTTCAAAATAATAATAAGAGATTTTATTAGTCTATCCATTCGGAACTCATAATCCCGGGTATACGGAGACAAATACCATTCTGCAGGTAATAATTAGAATGACATTCTATGCTTTCCACTTCTGGGAAAAACCCTTTTTACACGGTGGATCTTCAGCTGACCGGAGATTTACCATTTGTTATCTCTTATTATTACTTGCTATAAGGGAAATAAGATTCACAATCTTCTAATTTAATACAAATATTAGCACAAGCTAAATCTTTATCACACGTTTTATGTTAAAAACAGAAAATGCGATTTTTATAAAAATTTTTGTATGATGGTATTTTAGAGGGGAAGTTGACAAGTGTAAATAGTTCAGATTTAAATATATTTTTAAATATGGTGAATATTAAAGTGGAAAATGTGTAAATTGTACTAAGAGATATTTGTTTGAACAAACAAGCATTACATATTAAATCTTTTAACTTTAAAAAACGGAATAATGAATTTATAAAATGAAAAAAATGTTTTATAGTAAACTTCTGTATGCTTTTCGGTAAGACCTCGGTCTTGGATGTAGTAATTTGGGATTACGCTGCAACATGACCTGTGTTGAAGCAAACAAGGAAGATTAGATATAATTATTAAATACGAAAAGTAAAAGAGAATAATTCATTACCCTTGCGCATGTGTTGTAAAGATGGAGAATTAAATTTATTACTTGAGAAATCATTCTTTTGAGAAATAAATTGAAAAGGTTTTTTTTTGAAGAATTAGATGATTCAAAAATCCGTGATATTTTTACGTATACTTTGAATTTTTTCAGAATTTGAACGTTTTCACAGACTATATATATATAAATTTAGATCAAAAGTTGAATCCGTATTTGGAATTGTGTATTTTATGAATACAATTATATAAAGCATATATTTACAATTAATTAATTAGTTGATTCTGTCAATGGGTAAACATACAATGTGTATACTATACCCAAGACCTCGGAAAGTTCAACCAAGGCGTTTAGTTTGAAAGAATCGCACAAGGTTTTTATGCTAAATGGGAATGTTCCGGCAGCGATAGTGTATCATCGGTGATATTAATACCTAATTTGAGGTTTTGGATGCGCTTTGTATGTTTGACCCACCAATCAAATCCTAAATTTTTATCAACAAAAAGATAAACACGAATATGAGACAGGTTCAAAACACTAATAATAAAATTTCAATTATACAACGTCCCTCCTAATGCTAATTAACCATAATTATAGTTGATCATTGGGTGCCAGCTTCGGTTCTCCTTAATTTAACAGTAAGGGTATCCATATACTTATTATGCATACATTATTGTATATGAGCTGAAAAGAATCTCCGAAAATTTAATGTAAATCATATTTAAATTTTCGGGTTTTCTTTTAGCGACACTCATATGCTCTTTAAATTTTTCCTTGTTATAAATCATGTTAATAACAAATGGTGAATCAAACTTGGTATTTGGATAGATCTTAAAAGTCACGCGGTAAAGTATTCTGGATATATTTGATACTATTTTATCCTTATTAGTATATTATTCATGAGACTTTGGGAACTTTAGATACAACATTTAAATGAGTTGCTTTTCTGGGTACAAACAGATTCTCGGATGTACGTATGTATAAGTAGCCGTTGATTTTTTTTTCATTTAATAATGATATTTGATTAATAAGTTATCCTTTGAAATCCTAATTTATCCGTCTTCTCTAACGCCAAATCTAAAAAACATCTTAATACGTATTTATATAATTTCATTTTTTTCAGATTAACGTACATAATTGCATTTAAATCATTACATCTCGACTTAACATTATCGTTATATTACACTTTAGTACTTATGTCATTATCAGTTATCATCATGTGATCTTATAATTGATTTTACATAACGATAAACGATGTAAAAGATTTTTACTATTATTAATGCAAATTATCTTTGGGCTCTCTTTAAAAACATGGACGAGCAATTGATGCGAAAAACTTCCCCTGTAAAGACAACTTATGATGACCTATCATCTATAAATCTTGACTCTCAATTAGAGACTGAATCCCAACAATCAACTTTTCGCTGTGCTTCCGATCCATTGGACGGAGTCGACCAAGCTTCTCCTATTGATAATGTTATTGTGCCTACCTTGCCAACGATTGTTGAAGCACTGCCCTTATGCTCGGAAATTAAACAGATTAGCACTAAATTATGGGAAAGCAGCGAAGCTGGTGATAAACATGTTCGTTTCATTTAATTTCTATTATTATTATTATTATTATTATTATCATTATACTTTGGGTCATCTATTTTGTTTATTAAATAGTGGACACTTGATCCAGCAATAAGACGTCAATTGGACTTGAAATTCATTAAACTTAGACAACTAAATCGAAAACTATATCTGGATAAACAATATATTAAAAATGAAACTCACTGTGCAAAAGTGCAAATGGATCGTGCACATATGAAATTACAAGATGTTATGTTTCAGAAACGTTTGTTAAAAAATATGCTTAGCAGAGTTCCACGTAGGTACGTCATTTTGATTTTATTCTTATTTTTACTATATTTCATAATCTTTGATTATTCTATTATTTAATATTAGATTCAAATTTGAAGATATTTCATTAATACCAGTTGATGAATTCATTAAAACTGCTCCAGAACAATATCTCCCCGTTCTGTCTGAAGATGATGATACTAAACAATGTAATCACCAATTATTACTGGCTCAATTACGATACGAACTCGATGAACGTACAAGGTTAAATTTATATTAAATCATTGTTATAATAAATCATATTAACGTTGTTAAACTTACACTAAATTTTATTAAATAGATTGAATGATAATTATCTTGAAAAATTGAAAAGAAAAGAGGATGCTCTTCGAAGACTAAGAGGAAAATCAAAATTATATCGTGAAGTTAATAAAATAATGTCTGATTCGTTTAGTGTATGTACTTTTACCATCTTTTACTATCTTTTATTATCTTTTACTATCTTTTATTATCTTTTATTATCTTAATTATCTTTTGTTTTTGTTTAATGTATCTATTTTCATATATATTTTATTTGTATATAAAACAGGCGATTAAATCTCTTCAACAAGTTAACTCATCTTTAGTAGCCTCTGCTTGTATAGCGTCATCTTCCGAAATTTCGACATCCTTAGCTAGCCAATCTTCGATTGAACATTCAAACTCCATGATTATCGATAATTGATAATATAAATGATAGCACTTGTACTGTATAATTCACAGAATAATGTATATTATACATTATGATTTGTACTGTATAATTCACAGAATATTGTATATTATACATTATGATTTGACTTGCACTTATGCCAACTTTTGCCCATTCATGTAAAATAATATGGTCTACGCTATACAGTGGCGATCATAAATAGTGCAACAAAAAAAAATTCTTTTTAGATCACAAATTTCACACAATTCCGGGTGTATCTGTTAAGTTTTTTTTATATTTTATTCCTAAATGCTATAACTTTTAAAAATAAAAAATTTTAGAAAGTATCAATAGATCAAATCTTTTACAGGTATGAACTTTATTTTAAAAAGCGTATTGCATTATTTTTGCTCGTTTTAAACACAACTCGGATATAACATGGCCTTTTTTTTTTACATATAAAAAACAATTATTTTATTTGATTTTATTTTAATAATTTATGGTCACTACTATTTGTCACATTTATCTCGTGCTATACTAACGTTTTAAATTTTGTTTTTCAAAGGAGCAAATCAAGTTAATACAAGTATCAATACTGATTTCTTGTCGAGTCACCTAAATCATGCTCGAAGACAATTAATCAAAATCTAAAAAGAAAAAAGTTAAAAAATAGGACGACCAATATAAAGCCTTGATTATTTTTAAATTATCACTTTACTCTTGTTATTATATATTTCTCTTATTATCTAATTAAAAAAATAAGTTTGTGAATAACATATTCATAATCTCTGATGGTATTCGTATTTTTTTTTTACCAAAAATCTATTAGTGAAACTTATTAATCAAGTTTACTAAGGTCTTTGGATAATAAAATATAATGCAACACTATATATCGTTACAAATTTCACCAAAATCATATTTAAGTTTAATTTAAAAACTATCTAATAACTTCTCACAACCTTTCAATCAAAAAACCTTAAAATTTTGAATCATTAGATTAAATTAGCTCTTTTGTAAGTTCGAGTCAACATTTTTACTCGTATTTACGTCGGTAGAGTTTTTTTTTTTTACTTAATCCCTAATATTAACCTGTGGTTTTAAAGTATAAAAAGAATAATTAGCTATTGAAAATATCATTATTTTTTTTTAGGTAAAACCATACAGAAACGACAATTAAGCGACAATCGAAGATTATTCAATTTAATGTTCTCGTCTGGCGGTGACATTTACTTTGCCGACAATCATTTCACCGCAGCTCATTTGACCGATATCACATAAGGTTAGGATTAGCATTTTATTAGTCGCTGTTATATATTTTTAGCAAATTGTCACTTGGCATGATGTCGGATAAATGAACTGTCGGCGAAATGATTGTCGGTGAAATAATACGGACCCCTCGTCTGGATTTACTCGCGCTTGATAAGTAATTCTTCACGAGTGTGATGTACAGCAACTTTTATAAACAAAAAAAGCCGTGAAGAAACGCGCCCGATCTATCACTTTTGTGGCATATCACTTTTCCATATACGTTTTTTTTTGGTAAAACCTTTATCGTAGTACAGAGATGCAAGATGTTAGAACCGAAACACGTGATCCACGAGTGACCTTATGACCCTAAGTCACGCTCTCTCGGCTATGTAGATCACCTACCTTAAATGGGTTTCCCGGCTGTATTGGCTGTATACCATGCATCGGGTGAATAAAGGATATCAGTGGGGTCAAGGGTATAATTATAATAATCAATATAAACATTATTAGTAGCATACTTAGCATGAACATTTTAAGTAGTATAAGCGGTATATTATGAATAAAGTGTATAATATGTCCTATGTAAATGAAAATATATAATAAAGGCTTCGAGCCCTTCAAGAACAGTTCAGTTAGTGCTTAACAAACATTTCGCCCCATAATAATTCTCTGTTCCATTATATAATACAAACCATACCTACAATCATAACTATACCGCTCGCCAACTCTAACCGCCTCTTATCGACTAAGCCGTTCGTAGGTTACACGACGTATCCGTTTGAGAAGCGACCAACACGCTGACGCCGGTTCGGGGTGTCAAAGAATAACAATGAATTTACATTTTGATCAAAAATGTGATTGGTAATAAATGCACAATTACCTTCGCATTGGCAATAATAACAGCTATTAAAATTTGAATATTTATAAAAGATACTATTGTGAATAAAATAAAAAAGAAAAGATCCGGAATCGCGTAAAGCAATTCAATCTAACTAAAAATTTTTTTTTGTTGCATTATTTATGATCGCCACTGTACTTCTTTTAAAAAATGTTTCTTTCAAAAGTCGCCATGCAACAGAGTTTCTTAATTGACAGAATTATTATATCATTCAAGATCATGAAATCAAGAGTGTATTGGATTATTAAGATCTCGATTCGGTGTAATATACAATGCTACCAGTTGAGATTATCTAATGTGACATGTGGTTTGATGTTAATGAAATTATGCAAAAATGCTAAGTTTCTTCTTCTTTACTTGCGAAATGAATTGCATTTACAAGTATGTTTACAAGCACAGTATTTAGTACAAGAAAGAAATGTGCAATATATTTCGATAGTGAAATTATTTTATAATATTCATCTTTAAAAGTAAGACATAATAAATGAAATACGAAATCAAAACTTAAAATTGTCTATTGATATAATAATGCAATATGCAAATGGATGATTTTTCACATACACGTATATGTGTTGTAAGTGGGAATGGAATTTAAGTGGATTTGGTTAAATTAAGGTTAAGGTTAGGGTGTACATATGATAAAATCAACCACAAATGGGGTTTTATATATAAATTCTGAATCCACTTAAATATATATTATATTAATTAAAGCTACACATTTGCTCGATAAGTATGATAACGTGATAGCTAACACGAATGTGTAGTTAATGCGTTTCATTAAGTTAAGCATTTACACGTTATTAGGTGCTATCACGAGTTCGACTCCTATAACTCGTGTGCGTGTTAATTTGAGGCGATCATATACAGTATTATAAAATGACTAATAATAAGAAATCCATTCTGTCACAAATTTCATTTTATAATATGTAATATAATAAAGATCTTTTTTTGATTTAATGTATCGGGATACATTGGAGGAGTGCGTCGGGGCTTAGTCAGTGTTGCTAAACGGGGGGTTTTTTTTATGAATACTAAACACAGTATAGCAATACTCTAATCTTTTACAATATTAATGAAAGCTATAATGCTTTAATAAAATTATTAAATATTCTCATTTTTATGAAGATTTTTACAACATAATAATAAATCTTGGAATTTCCTGGTTTTCACTTAGTAGCATTTATACAAGGTATTTTTTCTTGCCATTCACTTTGTCAACAGGTTAAACTTACCGACATCATACAGCTTAACATGATACTCATATATTACAGCTGTTTTCATAAGTTCTGAGAAAACTAAAGATTTGTTTTTTACATCTCTTTGGTCTCGTTATAAGAATCAACTATTTAGAAACTATTACGTTATCTTCGAAACTTTAGCCCAGAAACAACGATATAATTTCTGAAGATGGATGAAACCAAAGGGATTTAGAAAACGAGTAAATTTTTTAGTTTCTCACAGAATTTGAGTTTACTATCACTGTAAGTCTATACATATCACTTTAGATCTGTAAATTTTCTTTTAGAGTACCGTTTATTCGTGCGAAAGTTTTTATAACATAACTATAATTTTGATCAGGTCAGTTTTTTTATAGAATGCATTCCAAAATATCAATTTACAGACTTCAAAAGATTAAGATGAACAGTTAGTTATTTTATCCCAGGTTTTACGTATGAACTTTGATCAAGACAAATTATTTATTCAATAATCATAACAGATCAATTATTGAAAAAAAGAGCTAGGATATTATATAATGACATTATTAGCTATTACAATGAATTTCTAAAAACATTTATAAATTTTCCTTTCTAAAAAAAAAAAAAATTGATATTTTTTTTAATAATCATCATAGGAAAAATGATTATATCTATCCGAATCTCTGTATTTGAGAGATTCGTCGTGACGATAACTATCATCCTCTATATGTGGATGGCGCAACCAACCGTGACCATAATAACGATCATCATAGTCATGGTACCCTTTTTAACAAGATTTTAACGTTTAATAAAAATTATTTTTTTTAAAAAAAAACAAAGATCTAATAAATAAATGGCTTACGTTTTTTAAGAGCTTTGACTTTAGCCTTGGATCCTTGAACACGCTTGACAACTGCTGCATCAACGACGAAAACGATTGTTGTGAGAGCAATGAGTAAAAGGACAAAAACGAAAATTGGTTTCATGTTTCTTTAATAACAAAAAAAAGTAGGTGTAGTTTTTGAATAAGTTTTGGTTGTTGCAAATTTTATTATTATTTATTTATAATTATAAAATTTTATTAAAATTTATTAAAATTGTCTTGTTGTTTATTAAAATGTTAGAAGTGAGTAATGAGAAAAAGGTGATCTCCAGGTAGTGCTTTTATATTTTTCCTTTCATATAAGAATTAACGATGAGAATACTTTGAATAGTGGATGATAAATAAAATATTCCAATAACCAACTCCATGCTTTTGTTTCGCAAAACTGAATTATGAATTAAGAAACGAATAGGAATGATAAAATGATCTAATCAACCCCATGAACTCCATTTTTTTTTCGCAAAATTCTGAATCATGAATTAAGAAACGAATAGAAACAATATTAACTTTCAAGTCTCTCGTTTCCCCCTCAGGTAATTACAAAGCATATATGAGAAAACAATGTTATTGTCTTTCAAAATTGTTTCTTTAATTTGTAGAAATTACCGCACACAAAACTTTTTTCCTTTAATTCCTGAAAAATCTGTTCTCCTATTTTTATCATCATATTATTCACTTTTTTTATTCTTTTATTTTGCATCCTATCTTTTTTTTTTAGAACTCGTTTAATATCACCTGTACCCCTTCTACTCTTTGACTGGTTTCTAACTATCATTATCAGCCGAAATTATACTAAAATCTGAAAAAAAAATCTAATTATAAACCGACGTATAGCGATAAGCAGATTGTTTCATTGATGCAAATACCCGATTTTTTTTCCATTACCCCACACGAAAGTGTATCGTGAACTTCAGGAGCACGCATATTCTTATATTCAGGTCTCGTGCGGCAATGACTGAGACTATCGAGCTTACGAACTAGATATGTAATTTTTATTTAAGAAAAATCAAAGACATATAAATGTTACAATAAAATTGGCTAGAATATTCATTGAAAAGGATTGTAACTTGAGTGTTCGAGGTTGTTCATATTTAAAAATAGGTTTACATTTTTAAATACCATTGCTTTTGATTATTACTATGAAAAGAATTTGATTTGCGTTAAAGCGATAGTTTCATGTATACATCAATAATGTATAATTTGATGAAATACTAAGCAAAAGAAACTAGGAGGACAATTATCTTATCAAGTCAAAACATTTAAATTAAGGATGAATGATAAATCAGATTTCTCGAAAAATAAAAACTTTCCAAGAATAGTTTTTTTCAGGGATTTATAAAATTTTCTCTTTACTATTTTTTTTCTTTTTTGGTATACTTGAAACATTTGATAAAGTTTTAAATATAGCATTATGCAAAAAATCAATATAGGCATTTAGCATTGACGAGATATCAAAAGCATTTTTTTTTTTTTGGTAAATTCAAAGAGAAATATGCATAAACAGAGAAGTAGCCCTGATATTTAACAGATATTTCTTATTATGTGTAAGATAATTAACAATGACCGTGTATTGTTGATTATTTTCAAAGTTTGAATATTTTTCCCCATACGATATTTGACTAAAGTATGAAAAGTATAAAACCGCGAAAAATCTGTCTCTGTTTTTTTAAGAAAAAAAAAAAATTAAAACAAAATACAAAATAAATTTCATTATAATTAATAAAAAATTTGACCTCACTAAAAAAAAAATAATAATAATGAAGTTGTTTAACTTATTTGCACTTTTCTCAATCTTTTTTCTGATCTCTCTTACTGTTGATTCCGTAGTCATTGATCGTGAACAAATAAAAAATCGACGAAACAGTGTCATTAAACGTGGTTGTAAGTCATATAACTACTTTACTTTTTGAAATATTAAATTTTTGTTTTTAATACATAATCGACAATGAAATTAATCTTAAATTTTACGAATTTCGTGTTCATAAAGATGGAAAACCTTTTACAAACGAAGTTGGACCTTCTGAAGAAAGTGATGACAATTTTCCTACTACATTTAAGTATCATAATTCTCCTACTCATGAAGACGAAGAAGAACTAGAACAAACCATGCCAGAAAAGGATGATGCTCCAAATGAAGATGATGAATGCGAAGAAGAGTCTACGTTAGAGGAATACCCTGTTTCTGAAGAAGACGAAGAATATCCTATTAATGAGGAAGAAAAAAAGAAAGAACTTATCCCTGAAGATCATATTTCTGAGGAAGAAAGCTTTGATGATGATGATGAAAAACAGATTTCTGAAGAAAGTTCTGAAGATGATGATGAAAGACCTATTTTCGAAGATAAAGAACCTAAAGATGATGAAAAATCTATTTCTGAAGAAGGTGAAGGACCTGATGATGATGATGATAATGATGATGATGAAAAACCTATTTCTGAAGAAGGTGAAGGACCTGATGATGATGATAACGGTGATGATGAAAAACCTGTTTCCGAAGAAGAATCTGAAGAAAAAGAAGAAGAAATTCCTGACGAAGTTGATGATGAAAACCCTGTTTCAGAAGAACCTGAAGAAAAAGAAGAAAATTCTGACGATATTGATGATGAAAACCTTATTTCTGATGAAGAACCTGATGATGATAGTAATTATGAAAAACCTACTTCTGAAGAAGTATCTGATGATGATGATGATGAAAAACCTATTTACAAAGAAGAACCTGATAATGATGATAATTATGTAAAACCCATCTTCAAAGACGATGGTGAAGAAGATGATGAAAAGCCTATTTCCGAAGAAGAACCTGATGATAATGACGAAAAACCCATCTTCGAAGATGATGATGATGAAAAACCTAATAATAATAAAAACTCTATTTCTGAAGACGAGTATGAAAACTCTATTTCAGAAGACAAATCTATGTTAAAAAATGAACAGTATACGCCAGACTGTGAATAAAAGTCTTTCAAATACTCCTGGAATAATAAATATAATGAATTGATTATTAAAACTCATTTATTATAAATGTACTAGATTTTTATATTAATATAATAAATTGATTCTTATTTTTATACTAATAGATTTGAAAAGGTTGACGGCATTTGATCATAAACTTATTTCTTTTTTGTGTTGCAAATTAAAACATTATCAGGATAGATGTATTAGTTTCTTCTGGGTTGCTAAGTCACACTGTACACACTTTCTAGTTTTTAGATTCTTTATACGTATACTATTGAAGCAACTAATATACAAAAGTTAGAGTTATTCTCACTACAGAAAAAATTAAATACAATTATTATAATTTTACTGATTATTTTTCTAAATATCATTCGTTGCATCGATTCTTTGTTTTTCTGTACTTGAACAAAAATTCCTATACAAATGTTTTTAAATACAAGTAATAATAATAAAAGCGATGCTTAATCGATTTTATTCACTATTTGGTGACCAAGAGAAAAAGAATCTCTTGGTTTTGGATATATTACTTCGCAGCCACAACAGTAGATTTATTTCCGACAGGGGTCTGCAAATACCCATGCCCGGCACATTGGCACCAGGCCGGGCATATAAATTATTTTTATTTGTACACTTCTTTAACAAAGTCATGGGCTTGTAGATTATTTTTATAATAAAACATAGGAAATATTAAAATTTTTATGCTATAAGAAAGGTTAAAAATTTTGATATTAAATAAAATTTTAAATTATATTAATACAACCCTTATCAATTATAGTTTCAGTAAAATGTTTTCTTAAATTTTTTAAATTTTTTTAAAAATATCAGTTTTATTGAGAAATAAACTTTTCAAATTTTTATGATTAAAACTTATAAACATTTAAAAAGTCTACTTCTTAATTAGACTAACGTTTTAAAAAAATTTAAAAAATTTAGAAAAGCATTTTACTAAAACTATACTCAATAAGAGTTGTAATAATATAAATTAAAATTTTATTTGATATTAAAAATTTTAACCTTTCTTATAATATAAAATTTTAATATTTATTATATTTATTATAAAAATAATTTACAAGTCTATAACTTTTGTCAGAGAAGTATATATAGAATGTATATATATATTTTTTTTTGTTTTGGTATTAAGGTAAGGTCTTGCTCATATCTTTATTGGTAGTTTAAAAGTTAGCAGTTATATAGAGTTGCTATATACAAAAAATTGCTAATCATATAATTATTGTTCTAAGTACAAATAAAAGAAAAACTATATTCAAAAATAAAAGCTCAAATATATTGTTACAGGGTTGCAACCTTCTTGGTACAATACAACCAAGTAACAAGGTCACCTGACCTGGTACAGTGATTAACTATTACAAATATATATAGAATGAAGATATAGTAGTTTACTTTACTATACAGTAGCAGGTAAATGGTTTGAAATAGTAACAATATATAGATTAATTTTATTAAATAAATACACAGTGACAACCTTGCTTATAGGAATTATTCTAAAAAGGAAATATCACTTTTATAAGTTAGAGATAAAGATAAGAAGATCTAAATCAAAGTATAGAAACTTAGAATTAGTAGAGAAGAGAAAAAAGTATCTTTTATATATCTTTTTATCTAGCAAGAATAGTAGAATTTGAGCAACATTACATGATACTATACTCAAAGTAATGGGAGTTCAAACAACATTAGATATTATTATACTTAAGACATTGGAAGTTCAAACAACATTAAATAATACTGTACTTAAGGTAATAAAAACTGTGTAGAGGCACTGAGAAATATTATTTATATTATTTATTATTTGTACTTGAAACACTTGAGACTTGTATTTAGACACTTAGATCTATGCAAAAATATTTAAAATTTGTGTGAAGATACTTGAAAACACTTGAAGTTTATGTTAAGGATACTTGGAATTCTTGTCTTGTAGTACTTGGCACAGTAATTTGGTGCTAAGATATATAAAACTTGTACAGAATTTGTAAGATGATAGTAACATCATAAATCTTACTCAGTATTATATGACTGTATCATATTTCTAATATCTAACTAAGATCCTTTTATCTATTTACTATATAATATAATTATCAGCTAACTAATAACTAATAACTAATAATAAATATAATATATAAAATACAAGAATAAATATATATATAATTATAGAGGTGTGGTGACCTAGTGAAGTGCACAGATCATATGAAGACATATCACAGTAGCATAGCCAGAATAATATTGAATAAATATCAGAAAACTGATAGAAAATATAAATTTTAAGTTTAATTATGAGAATATCAGATCACCGATATTAAAATGAAATTGAACCTAAAACTACAAATATTTTAGAAAACTAAAGGTATAATATCAGAAATACCGATATAGATTTTAATAAAATGATAATACTATCAAAAAAATTTAAAGACATATTAGCAGTAGCATAACCAGATAATATCATAGAAATATTGGTTATCGATAGAAAATGTAAATTTTAAGTAAAATTACAGAAATATCAGAAGCCGATATTAATATGGATATGTTCCTAAAAATATTGATATTTTAAATACAACTTGTTAGCAACCAGAATAATTTCAGGTAAACTGATATAGCTATATAGCTTTCTATAATACTATGATATTAAAATGATATTGTTCACATATTTTCATTTTGAAAATACTACCGATATAGCTATAAGATTTTTACTGTGCTTTAAAATTATTTATAATACAGTTTGATATTTAAAAACAATTATTAAACATTTTGGCAAAATACTATTAATAACAAAAGTAAAATAAATTTTATTATTATATATGAAATTTTCTATTAACTAGTATTACTGACATATATTCTATCGAGGTTTTCTTCCCAACTTTAACAGTACCAAAAATGAATCAGCCTAAGATATTGTGTACAGGAATTATACAATCCCTACTTATATTATAAAAGTTCTGATTCCACAATTCAATATTACAAATACCATCTACTTGGCAATGATATCTAATTTTATGATTATCAACAGGCTTGAACCAATGTACAAATGCCAATACATGCTTTTTCGAGCTATTAGGTAGGTGTACTACATGTTCAAAATAGAATTGAACAATACTTGGATATACATCAGTAGATCCATTGTCCAATATAAATTTTGCTATTATTTTTGCCGACCTTTTGTGTCTTGCCGCAGATATTAAACCAAAAAATTCATCATCAATTTTTAGTCTTCCATATTCTGTTACTCTAGGCAAAACTGGTATAGAGTTTGATTTGCTGATATCTCTATCACTTAATGACTTAAAACTATAGTTATATGCATTATTATAATATTCAGTTAATAAAGCTAATAATTCTTTCAAGAGTGTCTTTTTAATATTCTTAGGCCCTAAAAGAGCACCAGGTAAAGGTTCATTTCCAGTTCCTAAGCTTTCTTCAATGTCTGTAGACATTGATAGAAACTCCTGGCAGTCAATTCCATTATTAATAGAAAGACTGCCGATCATTTTTCTTTTTTCAATAAACTGTAAACATGTATGTAAATGTCCTTCTGCTTGTATTATAAGTTCATCCAATAATGAATATGATAGAATTATTTTTAATAATTCAATTTCAATTTTTCTATTGCTATTATGGAACAAACCTATTAACATATAAAAACTTTTATAAGCTATCGGCATTTTATTATGGTAATTAATAAATTTTCCAGTGTTTAACTTATCTAATAAACCATTCATTCTTTTATAACTAAAGCACCAAAATGAATACATTGGCCTATAGTCATTTACACATTCACATATATGTAAACATAAATGTAAATTTGGCATTATTTTTTCAGGACCATATTTCTTTTCAATAAGCTTCACCATATTTAAAAAACACTGATATGCTTCTTCTAACTTGACTTTTGGTAAAATTTGGTATACCAAAATTAAACATGCTCTAACAAAATAGGTCAAAATTCTTTGGTCATCTTCTTTTAGTAAATCCCAAGTAACCGAAGTTGCATATATTAATATAAATGACTTCTATTGGTCTGCCATGAAATCAGAAAAACCATCTCCCATAGCAATCTTATTTGGAATTCTACCAAGATCTGATGGAACTTCCATTTTTTTTGCCCATTGTTCTATTAAAGCCAAATTATGTAAAGATAAAATGCCTTCTTCTATCCATAGTTTCATAATCCATTTAGTGATGCCTAAAAATAAACAATGCATTGGATCTATTATGGTAAACCAGACAGAGTTAAAGTAGATAAGATGATATATTTCCAGCCACCGGACAGACATTTCAGAAGTATGTTTTTTTCTTGCATCTTCTGTACTGCAATTCTTCTATGAAATTGCATTTTGTCGAGTTACTTCAATATCTCTCTCAACAAACCATTTGCTCATATTGGCAAATCCACCAAAGTTTAGTTGATTTCTTTCATCAAAATTAGCTCTCTTCATACACCTGTGACAAGCAATTCAGGCTGAAATAAAGCTGCACAATTTCCTTGTAGCTGGTATATCGCAAGAACAACAAATTACTGCCACTCTAATGAATTTGCTGATAGAGCTTTTGAAAGTTTTTTCTAATTCAATCCCTAATCATATGATAAATTAACACAAATAATTAAATGAATATTATAATCATTTTACTTACTATTCTACAAACCAACTAATTGGTCTATTAAGGATGCTAAATAATGGTTCAGTTTATGTAATTTAGGTTTACTTGGTCCTGGTATTATAGCTAATGTCAATATGTTTGATGGCTTAAATCACTCATCATGTGGAAGATTACAAATGATTCCATAAATTGCGCTGATGCTATATTGGGAGTTATCATATAGTTGGAACCAATCAAGATTTATCATTAAGCCTAAATGACTATCTGATAGCTCTTTTCGAAAGAATGATAAATTTTCATCTGGATCTTGAAAAGTTTTCCATATTCTCCCATCATATATATCAGTAAGTTGTTCAGGATCTTCAGACCTATCAACCCATTTTT